GTACATATCCTCAAACAGATATCTCGCGGTTAGTTAACCTACCCCTACTCCCTATGTGTTCGGGAGTATTCCCTTTTGTTCCATTCAGCCCCCCGTTGCACGTACAATTTCCTTTGGAATTAGCTTCGTTCCTTTTTAACGTCGGCTTAATTAAAAGCGTGAAGTAATATTTTATCTCTTAGGAATCGAAAGTGATTCAGTTTTGAAATAGGTGCAAATATTATTGAGAGTAGGGCGCGAATAGGGCTGAAATGAGTGCTGCTTGAAGACCCCTGTACGAGTTGATTTATTAAGTACATTGCGATTGAAAAAAGTATATACAAAAAATGGAATCACTCGAGATGTCGAAAAGTACTTGAGCACATGCAGCGTCGACGATGTTCGGAGTTCCCAAGCGGTTACCCATCTAATGTAAGTCCTATCCGCAACCGATGCTATTTAACCGACTTCCTCTCGTTTCTATCGACTATTCTCGTTTTGCTTTTTCAAGCTTCTTGCAGCAGTTTGCACATCATTACATGCATAAATACACATCGGTTTTATCACATAAGTTTTTCTGAGAGTTCCTACCTCTCCTTGTGGTTCTACCTTTCGTTACAATCTTCCTAGCTCGATAGTTTCTAGATTTCTGTTTATTTATCTGCTTCTTCTTTCCCTATCCGTTTTTCTATTGATTTTAAATCACAGGCAGAAACACCGCTTAAAAACCTGGATTAAACATCGACTCCCAGAATCAAATTGAATGGAATCTCCTGCAAAAGTAACTTCCATAAACAAGGGTCAAAGGTTTTACGCAACCGGTCCGCATATAAACGTTATATAATACAATTGGAAGCCGATAAAATCGATGTCCCCGGCCGATCGATACGACAAATTCGTTTTTCCGACGAGGAAGCCGGTGTGTCGACCCGGTAGAAACATCTGGTCGGAATTTGTCCGATAAAATCGCGAGAGACAACGGCGCGGGGTTGCGAGAGACAGCCGGCAGGGGTGGGCCGGCGGTCGGTGAAAGGAAAGGGAAGCGAGTTCGAAAACTTCATAACGGACAATCGCGTTATCACGACAATACCGTGATTGGTATCATTCTATTCGCTCGGATACTCGGCTATGATTCTATTTTTGGCAACGAAACAAAGGAGGTGGGGCGGGGTTTGGGGTCGGGGTGGAGGTATCGGCCAGTGGGAAAAGTGAAAAAACGGATTGATATCGTACGGACGACGACGTTGCTCCCGATTCAGGAAATCCTATATCTTGATCCGGAAAAAAATAAGACACGTAAGATCACACGTTTATTTTTTCCATATATTAAAAAATACGATTTAAATGCATAACAGGCAGCATGTACAAAATGAGGTTTGGAAAATTAATAGGTTATTGATTAGGCGGGTCTTGGACAGAAATAAATATAAATTCTTGGCACGAACTGAATTATTGCAGATTCTGACGTCGTTTGAAATACTGCGGGCTCAGTTTTGCTCTTAACTATTGACTGGACAATCATTTAAATGCATTCATTGGAATATTGTCATAGACAGTGTTACCGCTCGTGGAATTTGGATAACACATTTATTATTATTCTACTTTATACGAGATTCCTAAAAAGAGTTTCAGAAATTCTTTGAGATTTTCTTTCCCCCTTTTTTCTCTCCATTTCCGGTCCAGCAACATTTGGGTCAAGCTTCTCGATATAATCGATTTTAATCTTCCACGAGGAAACATTATTGTAACAAGTATTGCTACCATTAATTACTATTAAATTGTTGCACGCCTCGTATCGGTGATTAAAATTGAGTATCGGAATTTTTCAATGTTTAATAAATGTAACGGAATTATAAAAAATTTTCTCTCACGCAAGCTGTGTTTAATGAAACTCCTGAAAAAGTGAACAAATTTCATAAAGCCTGTTTTAAATCACGTTCAAGTAATCAAAGCTTGAGTAATAAAGTTTTAATGATTAATAATGAACCGAGGAAAAAACTTTATAATCAAAGACTAGCCTCTAACGACTACTTTAACGTTACTAAACGCTTTAAATCTTGTATTTAGAAATAACTGAAACGAAAGACGAGTGAAACCTGAGGCGAACTCACGTCTACAAAACTAATTCCAATTATTACGTATCATAAATTGTGTCAAATGCAGTTTATAACTGATTTATCAGATATTTAATTATACCAACTTGTCAGTATTTATTTAGGAGTTATTGAAGAAAAACGAAATTTTTT